AAAAAATGCATATTAAGTATATGAAAATGCCTGTCACACAAAGAATGGAAACAAAGTGAACCAAAGGGGATAAAGAAATGAAATAAGAATCTTACATAAACCAGTGTCAATCAAAAGCCACAAACTGGAAATATCACGGCCTCCAACTTCTGCACCTGAATTCTACCGTAAAAGAAAACAGAAATATTTTTATGAATAATGTGAGCCACATTGCTACAAGAGTTTCTGAAATCCCTCGTTCTGGATGGGCCCATCCATCATTACACCCCCTACTAGTCTCACTAGGACATTGTCCCCAAGTATCCCCCCCACCAAAACAGGAGTCAGCCCAGTGCTTGGAAAACACAGAATCACCCGGACAGTGAGGAACTTTACTGGAGTGAGGATGACGTATCCCACATGAAAAGACCACACTTATGACATGGAAGGAAAGTCTTCTGACCACGCAACTGCCCTACTCAGAAACCATCCCCCAGCATCAGCCACCTTCCCTCCCCATCCCTCCCATTGCCGGGCATCCTCTCTCCTACTAAGCACTTCTCCATCTGCTCCGCTCCTCTCCATCCCCTCTCCTGGGACGCCGCCCCACCCTCCTACTCATCTCCTTTCCTCTGCACACACTCCACTGTGGCTTCTAGAGAGAAATTTCTGAAATGCTTACAAGTTGTGAAGGCATCAGACCCAGGGTGGAAACCCCAGCTCTCACTGTGTGTCTTTGGAGAAAGGACTTTGCAGCTCTGAGGCTCCTCTCCCCAAGTGAAAAACAGGAGTAAGCAGAGCACTGCGAGAGTCCACCTTGTAAAAGTCATTGTCATTGACTGATAATGATTTTGGTCTTCTGAGATGGTTTGTTTGTGTCATTCTGCACCAGATGTCACTCATTGACCCCATTCTAGGCTAATTCTCTGACCCCAGCAGAGTCCTCAGTATTTCTGGCAATGACACGTAACAGTGTCTGATCCCACCAAGAGTCTGATCTAACCTTCTCCCTCTCTCAAGCCCCTATCTCACCCCTGCAGTCCAACATCCCGACTACTGCTTGCTGGAGCAGCCACAGCTCTCAAGGCCAGGCTTCCCCATCTCCTCTGACAGGTGGCCAGAATTCTGCCTACTCTGGTATCATTGCAGATGGCTCACACATAGGCACTGAGCAAACATCTCACAGCACTAGAGTGTATCCTGCCCTCCCACAGAGCCTTGCCCCCAGGTTAGCAGGGGCACAACAGTGAAGACAAAATATACCTAGAATAGGGTTTCTCAATCTCAGCACTAGTGACATTTGGGGACCAGGTCATTCTTTGTGGTGGGAGCTGTCCTATGCATTGTCTGACATTTAGCGGCATGCTTGGCCTCAATCCCTTAGATGCTAGTAGGAAAATCCCCCCAAGCCCCATACACAAGTCATGACAACCAAACTGTCTCCAGGCATGACCAACTGTCCCCTGGGGACCAGAATCATGTCCAGTTGAGAACTGATATGGGTACCTGGGCTCACTAAACAACCAGGCATCTTGACTGGGCAAACGAAGGCCCCATGCAGTCACCTAAGGCTGAGATCTCTCTCTTTTCCCCGTCTCCCCAGTTCTGCTCCCCAACTCTAGGCTGGGCAGCTCCATCCACAACTCTCTGACTCTGCCCTTGTACCCTCCTCTTCTTGGTCTCCCTCCACCTGGGGCTGCCTTCAGTGAGGTGGCTATAAGAAAAAGGCACAAAAAACACCCTTTTAAGTGTTTTCACAGGTCACCTGTAGGCAAGTGTAGGAGCCAGACCCAGGGCCTCCTTGAACTGGTGCTGTGAGCTTTATTCCTGCAGTGGCCTCCCCAGCAGGTCATTCCCATGGGCCTCTCCAGGAAATCACCCTGGAAGGGCTGTCCTCTGGGTCTGGAGAGGCCAGGAGGAGCCTCAGAGGGCATTCAGGAACCTGCAACCTCCACCTCTTCTTCCAGCACACAGGGCTCACTGCTACCTCTCTGCCCAGGAAGACTTTAGCTCGTGCAAAGGATGGGAAGATTCCAGTCTCAAAGGAGATAAGAATGGAGAGAATTCTGGTTAAAGATTAATATGGAAGGGACATACTGAGGGATAGCCGACCTCTCCTTCCATCATAGCTGGGAACTCGGTTTTTAAGATTTCTCTGGGGTTCCTATGTTCAAGAGGGTGTCTGTTCACTTGGTTGGAGGCCTTAGGATTTTATTTTTATTTCTCAAAATCCAACAGACCCAATGGTGCTCTGAGCAACTGGAAAATGAAGATGTTGTGTAAAACCTTGCAGAGCTCAATGGAAGATCCACAGTGGAAACGTTTAATATATTAGAGCGAGAAATCACTATTCTTTCCTGGGACAATAAGTCTTCACTCACTACTGAGCCCCATTAAGGACACAACCCAATATGCTTATCCTGGAGTAGGCATGTTCTGTTCACAAAGTCATAAAATTAGGTGCACAGTCCAACTTGTCACCAAGTACAAGTAGTATACAGCAAACTAGGCTTGAGGCAGTCTTTTTTTTTTTTTTTTTTTTTCTGAGACAGGATCTCACTCTGTCACCGAGGCTGGATTGCAGTGATGTTATCACAACTCACTGCAGCCTCAATCTCTTGGGCTCAAGTGATCCTCCTGCCTCAGCCTCCTGAGTAAGTGGTACTAGAGGCTAGTGCAAGCATGCCCAGCTAATTTTTTTTTTTTTTTTTTTTGGTAGAATTGGTGTTTCCCTGTGTTGCCAAGGCTGGCCTCAAACTCCTGAACTCAAGGTATGCTTCCACCTAAGCCTCCCAAATAGCTAAGATAGCAGGCGTGAGCCACCATGCCCACCTTCCACAGCTTGCATAGAGAAATCTTTTTCTAGAGCTCAATCGCCCTCAAAGCCATTGAGAAATTATAAATAATAAGCAATTTTTGCTGGCACACTTGTCTTTTTACCTGTTACACAGTTTCAGAAATGAAGAGATGATCTATGATGGGTGCTGAACATAGTATACAGCTCAACATACAGTAGACACTCATACAGTGGCTACTATTATTATTTTACTATTGCTGTGCAGCAGCATGGGAAGCAACCTAATAATTGGGAATGAAGTATCTGTTCACTAATAATTCAGTCTGAATGATGTGTCTGTCTAGAACTCTGTGTGTGTGTGTGTGTGTGTGTGTGTGATGATTTCCTCATCCTTACAAACTTATATAATCACAGACATAGGTCACTGATGGAAGTTCACAGACAGGATTCGTTCAACCACACTGAACCTAGACAACACTGAGATTAGGCCCCTACCTCACACCATACACAAAGTTTGACACTCAAAATATATCAAAAACCCAAATGTAAGAGTTAAAACTACAAAACTCTTATGAGGTAAATAGATGTTCATGACCTTGGATAAAGCAATACAATGCTTTTTTAGATGTGACACCAAAAGCACAAGCAACAAAAGAAAACAATACGTACATTGATGTTATCAAAATGTAAATCTATTGTGCTGTAGAAGGGCACCGAAAAGACCATGAGAACACAATCCACAAACTGTGAGGAAATAACTGAAAATCACAAATCAGATAAAAGAATCTTAACTAAAAATGTAAAGTTTTCTTACAACTTAACAAAAATACAAACAGCCCAATTGGAAAATGGGTGGAGTATCTCAAGAGCTATTTCTCCAAGAAGATATCTAAATGGCCAACAAGCACACGATGAGATGGTCAACATCCTTACTCACTAGGGAAATACAAATCAAAACCACAGTGAGATACCACTTCACACCCACGAAGATGGCTATAATCAAAAAGACAGTAACAAGTATTGGTGAGGTTGCGGGGATCTAGACCCCTGCAGCATTGCTAGTGGGAATGTAAAATGATGTATAGACTTTAGGAAACAGCTTGGAAGTTCCTAAAAAAATAAACATAGAAATACCATTTGACCCAGCAATTTCACTACTAGGTAAATATCCCAAGGAAATGAAAGCATATATTGCAACACTTGTACTGATCACTAATAGCAGTATTACTCAAAATAGCAAAAATTAGAAACACTGAAATGTCCATCAATGACAAATGGGTAAATAAAATGTAGTGTATCCATACAATGGAATATTATTTGGCAATCAAAATGATGTACTGGCCAGGCACGGTGGCTCATGCCTGAAATCCCAGCACTTTAGGAGGCCAAGGTGGGTGGAGTGCTTGAGGTCAGGTGTTCAAGACCAGCCTGGCCAACATGGTGAAACCCCGTCTCTACTGAAATACAAAAATTAGCCAGCCATGGTGGCAGGCGTCTCTAATCCCAGCTATTTGGGAGGCTGAGGCAGGAGAATCCCTTGAACCTGGGAGGCGAAGGTTGCAGTGAGCCAAGATCACACCACTGCACTCCAGCCTAGGTGACAGAGTGGGACTCTGTCTTGAAAAAAAAAAAAAATGATGTACTGATACAAGCTACAATGTAGGAGAACCTCAAAAACATTATGCTCAGTGAAACAATTCTTTTGAAAATAAAAGAATTATATTTATAGTTGTCAATAGATATGAAATGTCCAGAATAAGCAACTCTATCCAGACAGAAAGATTAGTGGCTCCCTAGGGCTGGAGGGTATGGAGATTTGGAGGAAACAGAGAGTGACCAGTAATGAGTATGGGTTGTTTGTTTGTTTGTTTGTTTGAGACAAGGTCTGGCTCTGTTGCCCAAGCCAGAGTTCATTGGTGATCGTGGCTCACTGCAGCCTCAAACTCCTGGATACGAGCAATCCTCCCACATCAGCCTCTGGAGTGGGTGGGACTACAGGAATGTGCCACCACCACGTTTGGCTAATTATCAGAATGTGTGTGTGTGTGTGTGTATGTGTGTGTAGATGGCATCTCACTATGTTGTCCAGACTGATCTTGAATTCCTGACAACAAACAATTCTCCCATTCAGCCTTCCAAAGCACTAGGATCTGGGTTTCTTTTTTGGATGACTAAAATACTCTAAGCCAAATTGTCATGATGGTTGCATAACTCTGAATATGCAAAAACCATGAAAGTGTGCACTCTAATGGGTACATTGTATGGTATGTGAATTACATCTTAATAAAGCTACTATAACTCAAAAACTAAAACTCAGATAAAGACATACAGATCAAGAGTTGTGGAAGAAAACATGCTTTTAACATTTATTGAGCACCTACTATGTGATGAGTGTTGTCATATACACAGATCTTTACACCTGCCTTACAAGGTAAGCATTACTAACCACACTGTACAGACAAGGGGATGGCCAACCTCCTATCATATTCTATCAGCACCTCCACGCCAGCTACTCAGGTGCCTGAAGAATAGAGTTTGCTGAGGAAGGTCTTCCTCATGGCAACCTTCAGTTCTTTGTTCCTGAGGCTGAAGATGATGGGGCTGAGGAAGGGCGTGAAGACTGTGTAGGTGGTGGCCATCAGGGTGTCACCCTCCTGAGAGTGGGGACCCTTGGGCTTGAGGTAGATGACAGAAGCAAAGCCATAGTGCACAATGACCACAATAAGGTGAGAGGCACAGGTGGAGAAGGCCTTGTTCCGGCCTTCAGCAGAAGGGATCTTCAAGATGGTGGCCACGATGAAGGCATAGGAGAGGAGGATGAGGAGAAAACAGCCCAGCAGGGCCGTGATACACACGAAGCCCACACCCAGGGCCACAGCGGGTACATTATTTCCACAGGCCAACTTCAACAGAGGTGGCACATGACATAAAAAATGCTGGATCTCATGGGATCCACAGAAAGTCAGTTGGAAAATGGCCGTGGTCACCACCATCCCCATGACGGAGCCACCAGCCCAGGAGCAGCCTACCAGGCAGGCGCCGCCCCGCGGGCTCATGAGCACGTTGTAGCGCAG